CGGCCCAGGAGTGGAGGTAGTGATTTGGGGGAAACCTGGGGCGGGGGCTCGGGAAGTAACCACAGGACGGGTGTCGGGGCGCGGGGCAGGGGTTGAGAACCCGACGGGGGATGCCTGAGGCGGCACCGGAAGGGAGGTGGGTGGGTCAGAACACCCTGTGGAGGAGGAGAACTGGGATTGTGGGAAATACCTCAGGTTAGAGAGAATTGGGGGCGCTGGTCCTGCATGCCTCTCCTCAGCCCCCACCCTTCCCCGTGGAGTGAGGAGGAACCGGGAGACGGGGCGCTATCAGAGTTGTGGGAGGGACTGGGAAAGGAGGATTCCTGGGATTGGGAAGGAACCTAAGGGCCTGAGGACGTTTCTGGCAGAGAAGTAAGGAGAACTGGGCCTGAGCCAGGAGTGGGGCCATCAAGGAGGGGAGTACTGGGCTGTGACCCTGCAGGGTAGGCTGGGGGTGGGGAACAGTCCCAGATCCCGCTGAGGAAAGTGGAGGGACACATTAGAGGGTACTGGGGCTGGTGGAGGAGGTAGAGAGAGCGCGGGGGTAGAGAGAGGGACCCCTGGGGGTAGAGAGAGGGCTACACTGGGACTGGTGGAGAGAGTAGGCCCCAGCTACTTTTTTTTAACAAACACCTAGACTGGGACTAATTAAGCTTTGGACACGATTCTGGAGAAATCGGGTCTCAAGGGAATGGCCCTTGGAGGCAGGAATCCAGGGGAGTCTTACTCTCTCAGCTGTTCCCCCTTACCTGTTATTTAAAACCCAAAGCCTGCTAGACCATTTTCCTCCTGAGATCAAGTGCCAGCATGCTTTGAGAAGAGAGAGAAACCTGATGGTGATGGCTCCTTCATTCCCATGGCTGCAGGAGAAGAGAAGGCCTGCCTGCCTCAGGACAGCCAAGACCTTGTTCCACATGGGTTAGCTGGGCAGGCACCCTCCACCCAACACCTTCGCAGGAGCATCCCACAGGCTGGTGCCTACTGTGCCCACTTTATGGATTAGGAATGAAGCCTTGGAGGTTAGGCAGCCCAGGTTATCCTGTGCTCTGCCCTAAACAGGGTCTCATGAAAGTTGGTAGCCCCTCCAGCCACACCCTTGGGCTATGATACAAAGTGGGCATAGCACCAATGGTACCCACCCCGGACCCAGAAGCCACATGCCCAAGGACCTAAAAATGTCATTACCTATTTGCAGATGTGTCTAGGTGTGCCAGGACAACCAAGCTGGGCCCACACCCTCCCATGTCCTCCTCCAGGGATCTAACCAGGAACAAACCAACAGACTGGAGGATCTGCTTTTCAGAGGGCCATGTGGAAGAGAAA